GGATTCTTGCTGAAATGGTTGCAGGAAAATGAACATTTGAGATAGTCCTTGTAACAATTCTGCTAATGCTACACCAGATTTTGGCTCATATGTTTCTGGATTTCTGGGCGAACTCTTCTTGTTAGAGCTCACCTTGAAATTTCGAAGGATCCTTTAGATAACTTGTAGGTTTCGATCAAGCAAATAGATGCTCAGATATGATTTATTGCCTCTTGTTGTGATCACTATTGGTCAACCATCAACCTTCTCGAAAACCAATTTCGAGAACACCTAAGAGCCCATTTGACATGATTTTTGAAAAGTCAAAAGAGCTTTTGAGGTCCAAAAGTAACTTTTGGATCCGTTTAGCTAATTTTATAAAAGTGTTTTTGTCAGTTAGAAGAGCTTTAAGAGGAAACCATTTAGAATTTGAAGTACTTTTAAAAGTTATGTTGAGCTCTTATTTCTTTACTTTGTGTGGTACTGTTATAAGTTGGAAATCTCAACTGCAAAAGATAGTTGCTCTGTCCTCTACTGAGGCAGAAAATATTGCTGCCACTGAGGCCATTAAAGAAGGCATCTGGTTGAATGGTCTCTTGAATGAACTTGGTTTTGTTGATTCTAATCCTATCTTATTTTTTGATAGTCAGAGTGCTATTCACTTAAGTAAGAATCATATGTTTCATGATAGAACAAAATATATTGATGTTTAATATCATTTTATAAGAGATGTTATTTCAAAAGGATTACTTAAGATTGGAAAGATAGCTACTTTAAACAATCCTACTGATATGGGAACAAAAGTAAGACCTTTAAACAAATTTCTAAACTGTTTAAAGTCATTATCTGTTGATTTTCTGCATTGATTATACAGGTACATGGAGTAAGTGAAATTATAAATTGCTGATAAAGTTTCTGTTGCACTATTGGCCATTTTTGAAAGCAAGGTGGAGATTGTTGAGTTTCGAACTCTGGACCTATTTGATTATAGAAGTGTGCTTTCAAAATTAAGAGGAAAGTCGTGTTTCAGTTTAGCAAAGTGAATGGTTTAAACTGGATTGCAACACGTGGAGCCAGGGTGACCATTGGATGAAGTACTAGAAGCTTCCATGTTGATAAACACACTTGGCTGAAACGTTTGGCATAATCTTCTCTCTCACCCCAAACTTGAAACGCTCTCTCTTCTGCTGAAACCCTTTCTTCTTTCTTCGTGATTTTAGGGTTAGTCATATTGTTGATGTTAGTAAGTGTAATCTGTAATAGTTCAGTTCNGTGGTTTGGTTGAGATCTGGCCGATTATTGGTGAATCTGTGTGATTCATACGAAGATAAGTATCTGTGATATGGTTCTTGTAATTTCTTGAACAATATTCTGTACTTTGGTTGCCGGTTTTGGCCTTATAGTGTAACAAGAGCTTTATCCATTTATAATGGATGCTCAACAGGGGATTAGGTGTTAGAAGCGGTCGCGGAACCTCTGGGGCTACGGCCGAAAAAATCATTGTGTTGATTTTCTTCATTCTTGCACTTTATGGTTATGTTTATGTATTGATCTTTAAGTTTCTTGTTTTTATTCTAATACATACTTGGTCGTTCGACTTTTCAAGTTAGTTTTCAAAAAAAAAAAAAAAGCAGAAGCCAAAGCAAAAATCATACCAAATGTACCCTATGTATGCTTGTAGAAAAGGCGGAGGGGAAGTGCCCCATTGTACCTCTGAAGCTCAAGTCAGAATATGACTAGAGGAAAATGTAATTGAATGACAAAATGCAAAATGTAATTGAATCACAAAATGCTAAAGCTTGAATTTTGTGTAATATAGGTGTACCTGAAAAGGTTTTCTGGCATCATTGAATTCTTACCCTAGATGCATGGGGATTTAATTCCTTATATAGACGGAAATGAATTTTTACTTTCTTATCTCTAAATTGATACAAACTATTTTCTTAATTGATGGAAGGCAAATATATATCCTAATGGTTATGGAGATTACTTCTTTGTGAGGGTTTTGACAATAAAGAATTCCAAGAGATTTCGTTAATGCTAAATTCATTAATGAAACATTATTAACTCTTTATTCCAATAAATTGCTTGTTTTTAAAGGTTGAACCCCAACCTTAAAGGTCCCCAACCGCCCCGTCGTTAGAGCATTGTAGAGGAGGTAAATCGTGGGATGTGCCTCAGCAGATCAGGATACAAGAGCTGTCATATTGGTGCCCACAAAGAGTCCAATTCCATACCTTATAAGATGTAGGAATCGACCCCTCACATTGCGGCTGACAGCTCAGCAGAGATTATCTCACTCAGGGTTTTTGTTTGTTTTTATATTTGATTCTTATTGTGACTCATTATAGGCTGACAGCTCAGCTGAGATTATCTCACTCATGTTTTTTGTTTGTTTTTATATTTGATTCTTATTGTGACTCATTATTTGTTATTGCATTTTTATGTCATATAATTCTACTAATTTCAACAATAGTGATTAACATTAACATATTAGAAGTAAATGGATCAATCAAGTAGTCGAATTCTAATGGAAAATCATTATTGATGGACCAAGACCATACATATTGATAGATACAACTACTATTTATTTACTAAATAGACAAATTTATTGAAAAAAATATGATTATACTCAACAATAAAATACTCAAAAAGGCCCACACACTATGAAGATTTTTTTGTTGTCATTGGAAAAAGAAGTCCTATTAGCATAAGAACTGGAAGTAAAAAAAAAAAAAGTACGATTTGTTTTTGGGAATTCGTGATGACATCGAAAGGTAATTAATGTTTGTAGCTCACATGGAAGATCAACTAAACTAGTCATTTGTTTCATGCTGTAGACCACACAACAAAATTAGGACATTCATAGAGTCAAAATTCTTAGACTAAGAACTAAGCAAGCTAGAACAAACGAGAGTAGTCAAATAAATATTAGGGCCTATGTGGGAAGGATTAAAATCAGATTAAAATTGAAAATATAGCCGTTATTGTTGACTTTTATTAGACGAGTGGGGTCCAATAACGGCCATATTTTCAATTTTAATTGGCTTTTAATCCCTCCCGAACGGGGCCTTACTTTTACAGTTTTACTACACATACTTAATATTCTACTTTACGTTGTACCATGTCTATGTGACACAATTTTACCATTAATTTCTCGAAAACTAAAAACAATTAATGACCTCTATTTTACCACTACTTCAAACGTCATCTAAATTGTACTCAAATAATGTACAATTAACATAATTCTTACTTTTAAGACTAAACCCCCGTTTGGCCCTCATTATTTCTCATTAAATTATAATTCATTTTTCTCTCTCTTTTTATCAATCACACATTTTTCAATAAAATATTATTACACATAAACCCAAAAACTTTTCATTTCTTTTTAACCCCACATTTTCCAAAAAATTACTATTCATCTCATTATAATTTGGAATAATGAGGGCCAAACTGGCGATAAGTGCTCTCACTGTTTTCTCATCAAGGATTTATGCTTGACTCTCGTCTCATCTAGCCTCATCAAAGAATGGCAGGCAGCAAAGCACTTATAGGTGCTAACTGCTAAAGGATAAATCGGCTATCAACCACACATGAAATAGGTAGCATACACAATGGCTTCTTGAAGCTTTTCCAAGTCAAACATGTATATGCTCATTTCCTAATGCTAAAACTTTCAACTATAATTCACTCAAAATCATCTCAATCTCTTGAACCTAACCATGTTGAAATTATTTTAGTAATGTCACAAGAATATCAATTGAACCTCTCTCTAAACCCCCCGTATGGTTTAGCTAAAAATGAATTTTTTAGTAGATTTTGAAAAAGACGATGAAATATTTGATTAAAAAAGTTAATAACAGTTGTGGATTCTATAAATTTTTTTGTTAAAATTAATTGTTGAGTTAGGACTATTAAATGGATGGATCTTATTAACGTCCATGAATGAAAACTCATAGATCGAACTGCCGAACACAACGCAGTTGCAACCAATGATCAAAGCAGTGTAAGACAGTGTGCTATTCTAGCGCATGTAATCCCTAGAATTCCTTCTAGAGCCTATTGGATAATTTTTATGGATTCCATAATTTCATTGATTCGCACTAAATAACGAGCTAATGAATCCCCTTATTTTTGCCATTGAACCTCCCAATCAAATTCATCGCAACACTCATAATGATGAACTTTACAAAGGTCCCATTGTATTCCAGAAGCTCTAAAAAGTTGATGAAATTTGATTGTAAAAGTTAACACAAGTTGTGGATTCCCTAAAATTTTTTGTTAAAATTAATTGTTGATTTTGACTGATAATTTTACCATCGCTTTCAGCTAAATCAAACAAGGGCTAAATATATGCATGGACCTATTATTTGCACAACCATCCATCCCACAACAATCTGGATATAGTAGCATATAAAGCAGATGCCACAAATTATTTCCTTTCAAATACAATACTTTCAGAGCCATATAGAATACCAATGCTCAGCCGCATATTACATAACTACCAAAAAGAGTAAAAGCTATCACAAAATCTAATACAACCATCGGTATGAAAACCACCCTTGCCAAAGCACTCTTGTGTATTATACTTACTAAACTGCAAGCCAAACCACATCACGAACAAATTTCCATCCATACAAGAAATATAAAAAGAAATGCCCTCCCCTGAAATAAAATTCAAAATATTAGTTTTTCAGGAAAGAAACTAAAAAACACATTGCACGGCTGGAACAGCTCTACACTTGGTAAAGATAAATTCAGAAAAATGAAATTTTTTAGGGTCATAAGAGAAGGTATATAACAATGAAACAAACTATTTGTACTCTATCAAGCAGCAACTACATATTATTACGATCAACAAACCTCATGTCTTGCACAGCTTTGGACAAAGGAAACAAAAGCTACAACTTAGATACAACCTCATTGTCCCTCTCCCAAGGAAATCAAGTGGAGTGACAAATACACACATTTAACTGTTGATTACAGGAAATAAAAAGCACTAACCACATGAATTACCAAGTTCAAAAGCATTTCCTATGAACGATTGCAGGACCAGATTCATCGTACTCGCTCTTTGAGATCCACATCTACACCACCAAACGCATCTTATAAATACATACACGTACATATTCATACCTACGTAAATACACACATACACACGTGTATGGTATATGCAAATTGAACAAGACTTAACAAATGTTCCTTGTGTGTACACCATTTGAGATTTTTGGGCAGAAGAGAGGGGAAGGAGGCAAGTGTTAAAAGGATGAGGCATTCAGAGCACTGAGAAACGAATAAAAGTCACCTGTTGGAATGTACTGAGGGATGCCAGGATTGATCCCCCAATCCAGACACTGTACTTTCGCTCAGGTGGTGCCACCACCTTAATCTTCATGCTGCTGGGAGCAAGAGCTGTAATTTCCTTACTCATGCGATCTGCAATACCAGGGAACATAGTTGAACCACCACTGAGCACAATATTTCCATAAAGATCCTTCCTGATATCCACATCACATTTCATGATGGAGTTATAGGTCGTTTCATGAATTCCTGCAGATTCCATTCCTATTAATGATGGCTGGAATAAGACTTCTGGACAACGGAACCTCTCAGCCGCAATGGTAATGACTTGTCCATCAGGTAGCTCATAGCTCTTTTCAACAGCAGAGCTGTTTTTTGCAGTCTCCAATTCCTGGTCAAAATCAAGTGCAACATATGCAAGCTTTTCCTTGACGTCACGAACGATTTCCCTCTCAGCACTTGTAGTGAACATGTAACCTCTTTCTGTCAAAATCTTCATGAGATAATCAGTGAGATCACGACCAGCTAGGTCCAACCGCAAAATGGCATGGGGAAGTGCATATCCCTCATAAATCGGAACAGTGTGGCTCACCCCATCACCAGAATCAAGAACAATACCTGTTCACAAGACAGTACTATTTTAGATCGTGCAAACCAGATGAGACAGAGATCTTTAGATCCTTACTCATCCATGTGACACATACCAGTAGTACGACCACTAGCATACAGGGAAAGGACAGCCTGGATGGCTACATACATGGCTGGCACGTTGAAGGTCTCAAACATAATTTGAGTCATTTTTTCTCTGTTTGCCTTGGGATTCAGTGGTGCCTCTGTGAGGAGGACTGGGTGCTCTTCTGGAGCGACACGAAGCTCGTTGTAGAATGTGTGGTGCCAAATTTTCTCCATGTCATCCCAGTTGCTGACTATTCCATGCTCAATGGGGTATTTCAAGGTCAGAATACCTCTTTTAGATTGGGCTTCATCCCCAACATAAGCATCTTTTTGCCCCATCCCAACCATGACTCCTGTATGTCGGGGACGACCAACTATACTAGGAAAAACAGCCCTAGGAGCATCATCACCAGCAAAACCAGCCTGTAGAACACAAAATATATATGGAAGACATAATCGAGACAAGCATCAATAATCTCACCCTACCCTACCCAGCACTAGCAAGATGTTATAGCTGACAAAGAAATAAAGAATGACTAACCTTAACCATCCCAGTTCCATTATCAACAACAAGGGGTTGAATCTCTTCTCCCTCAGCCATCCTATATTAGTCTGTAAATGGAAGAGTAGGAAAGAAATGTCAGAAGTGCAAAGATTAAAAAATATGAACTTTATACAGCATTAAGAGAAACATAACAATACTAGAAAAGATGAATCCATTCTAGATAACCCTTCATTATCCAGACTCCTTAAAATACTTAGTCCTCCTTTTTCCTCGTCAAGTGTCAATTTTTTAGTTATAGATCCATATAGTTTTTAATTTATGATTCCAAGAATGTGCACAAAATGATAGGGACTCCCGACGTGGGAAAAAGAAGATAAAAAGAATAAGAGGACCATAAAAAAAAAGCAGTATGGACACAACTATTATTTCAGTAGTTTGCTCAAAATTAAGCTAATAAATAAGAATGATGGCACAAGTATAAGTAACACTGCCATTGGCACATACATACAAGCCATAAACCAGATGGTCAGCCATTTCATTTTCTATCAGCATCATGAAACGAACTAATATACACTGTATAAAACAACTAAAATTTAAAGGAACAGAACAGAAATTCGCATTGCCTCAGAACTCTTTGTCGTTCTTGAAGATGACAAAAAGAAAACAGAGGAGAATATAAAAATTATAGCTGTTTATTTTCCAACTGAAGGACATTTTAGATGCATATAACTTTCATACATGCATGTCAAATGATATAGTAAAGAACTTTATAGAGTATAACTAATATGTTCCACACTTGAATCAACATCGCATTACTACCATTACTGAGTTAAGATATTTGATATGAAATACCTTATGATCTTCTCTTTTCAATTCATGATCTCTAACCATTCATAAGCACATATAAAAGTAAAGTTTGCACAAATTGTTTCTTTCATGTTTCCCAAGTTCCAAATGAAAGCACCCTAACTCTGATTCAGAAAAAGAAAGTTCATTCTCATCACATCCACTATTTTAAAGTGTTTTTGAGCATGTAGGTTATGAAGATAGTCTTCACCAATCATTCTATTTTCAAATAACGAATTAACATCTACCACGTAAAAAAATAACAAAGATACAAAAGCATAGAAGCAAAAACGTTATATCTAGTAACTACGCTGCTGTGGTAGAGCAGAGTTGCCACAGAAATAAAATTAGACATGATACTCAAACTTGAATTGATCTTCACTAATTCATTCAATAGACCCATATATACCACTAATTCTCATTTCCTTACCAAGATAAAGAAGTAAATAAGTTCACCTTTACCTAACTTTTTTTAATCAAAATTTACCCAGTTTTACTCAATTTATAACTTAAAAAGTTAACCAATAAGCAAATTAACTTTTAATTAAAAATTTGAGTATTAAATTAATTTATTGTTAAAAGTTAGAAATAAGTAAGACTATTACGGTAAATTTAAATTCTTCTATTTAGGGACTAAGCCTGAAAGGAGGTTAAAAGTTACTTCTTTTTATTCCAAACATATTGAGATAACTTACTTTTTTTTTTAAAGTAGAAGAACTACTTTTAAAGTAACTCAAAATAATTAACTGCTTAGTTCTAACTTTTCACAGATCATAAGTAAATTTACTTAAAGCTAAACTTCTTAAGCTTAGCAAACATGCACTCAATCGCACAAAAACCCAGTATTTATACCAGTCTTAGAAAATGGATCATGCAGATTAAAGCGTTTTAAAGCCGTCGAGCAAAATTTCTACAATCCAAAAGTTCCTTTCAAGATCTAAATCAGTAAACCAACAGAACCATCAAAAGACAAATACTTCCTACCGTGGCGATGATCAAAAAAAGCAAAAACCATATCAAAAACTCAATTAAAAACCGAATTCAAACAACAAGAACAATCAAATAATGTAAATGCAATTTGTAGCTCACCTTCGATTGAAGTAAATGAATAATTGCCTCTTTGCTTTTTGTAAAGTTAGAGAGAGCTAGAAAACAGTTGGGAGAATATTTGTGAGAGAGAAAGCGAGCAGTATGCGATATCTATATCCTCCTGAGGCAAAATGACAGTAAAATGAAATGCAAATGAAAATCAAATTGTAATTAAAGAAATTACTGGGGACCACGTGGCAATGAATTGAGCAATAGACTGACAATTATTCCAACCTTCTTTACCTTTAAAAAAAAATAAAAATAAAATCTTTTCTACACTTTTTTGATTAGGTGTAGACGCACTTCGATGCCTTCTACTATGTCTTGTTAAAGATAATATATCAATTGTGATATATGTACATAATGTTATTCATATTGAAAATTATCGATAATCATTTTACATAATATACATGTTGTAATTTATTATTTGATATATGAAGTAATAAAAAATTACTGATAATTTTCACTGTGAATAACATTATTCTAATTCATAAGATATATGCACAATTTTTCATAACGAATGTGTTACATGTATATAACGATTTATATACACGTTATGCAATTTCATTATGTAAAAGTAATATTATTATTTTTATAAATAGGTAACTCATGAGTACACATGTGACCCATATTTGCTCATATCATGTTTAAAATATCTCTGAAAAATTTAGTGGGCGTTTCATTTGTTGTTTTCAAATTACAAAATACTAAAAACGTGTTTGATTTGATATTTTTGAAAGTAATAATAAAATTTTAACATAAAGCTCAAAATGCATTTTCGTCATTTTGATTATTTTCAGTGAAAAATTCTAAAAACACTTAAAACATGAAAACAAACATTTAAATTAATTTTTTTTAAAAAATAAACATATAAAATTCTAAAACATAAAATTATAAATTTCAAGAAAAAATAAAAAAACCGATAAATTAAAAAAAATTAAAAACCTAAATTTCTAAAAATTGAATTCTAAAAATTAAAAATAAAATTTTAAAAAAATAAAACTATAAAAAAATCTAGAAAACAAAAATTATAAAAGATAAAAAAAATTAAAAATAGTTCAAGCCATGTACATAAAATTTTTAACAAATATATTTAAATAAACATACATTATTAATTTTTATTTTACTTTCGTAGCGAGAAAAAATTCACCAACTTTAAAATATAAATATTACTTGATAAAATATTAACATAAAATTATTTTATTTTTACTGAATAATCAAATTTTATGAAATAAAATGTCATGAAATAATTTTTCAAAATTTTAAATCAAATGAATTTTCTAATTTTTTGTTTTGAGAATAATTTTTCAAGTTCACAAACTAAATGCTTTTTTTAGCAATTTTAAAGCAGACCTTTAAATCAGAAAATTGAAAATGAACTCAAAATTCAAAACTGAAAAATGAGATAGTATGTGTTTCAGTTTTGAATTCATTTTCAGTATTCTATTTTGAGAGTTTATTTTAAAATTGCTAAAAATTCATTTGATTTATTATTTTTAAACGTTATTTCTTAAAACAGAAGCTAAAAAATGCTTTTGGTCTAAAATTTTGACAAATTATTTTATGAAATTTGATTATTCAGTAAAAATAAAAAAAATTATGTTATATTATTCAAATAATATATATTTTTTAAAATGGGGGAATCTTAAAAAAATAAAATAAAAATTCTCACTACAAAAGTAAAATAAAAACAAATAATAAATTCAGTTCAAAATAGAAGAAATAAAAGTTAAAATTAATGGCTTGAAATAAGAATGTTTTTATTTGTGTTCATATAAATATTTTTTTAGTATTTTATTTAAATAATCATTAAGAGTTTGAAATATATTTATTTTTTATGACTTTTAATTTTTAGACCTTTATTTTATATTTTTTATAATTTTATTTTTTTAAAAAACTTAGAATCTATTTTTTCAAAATATTTTATTTTTATTTTTTAAAATTTATCAATTTATTATTTGAATTTTATTTTTTGGAAATTTTAAATATTATTTGTTAGAATTTTATGTTTTAATTTTTTACATTTTTACAATTTTTAATTTATTTAAATAAAATTCAAAAATAAACTCTTGTTTTTCAATGGTCTAAGTGTTTCAGAATTCTCACTAAACACACTCAAAATGTCAAAATATGTTTTTAGTTTTATGTTATAAAATTAACTTTTTTTCGAAAATGTATTTTCAAAAATATTTAGGGATGAACAAAATGATTAGACCAAATCAAGTCAAATAAGAACCCAATCAAATCGAACAATTCGTTTCGATTCTGCAAAAAATTAATAAATAATGATTTTGATTCTCAGAATCGAGAACCATTTATTCAGGTTCTGATTCTAGAACCAAGAACTAAAAACGAGAACTGAACTCAATTTTTATTATTTACGCTTGTCCTACATGTATATAATGGTTTACTTATGCATAATGTGGTGAGATATGATTATGTCAAAATTTCATCAATCAAAAATAAAAAAACTTATTCACTCTCTTTTGACACATCATCTATATATAAACTATTATTTAACTCCATTATATATATATATATACAGAAATGATCTAATGAGCACCGGTGCTCATCTTATCCTAAGCACCGATGAGTTGGCACATTAATTCATTGGTGGATAAAGATTTTGTGAGTTCCAATCCACCAATGAATTAATGTGCCAACTCATTGGTGTTTAGGATAAGATGAGCACCGGTGCTCATTAGATCATTTCTGTATATAAAAGAGTTTGATTTTTTTATTAATAAATCATCATCACAATTTCAGTTATATAAGTGGGTTGAGATTTTCCCCTACCATCACAACCACAATAATATTGGAATGAGGACAGTTGAAATTCCCTACCATAATATATATATGAAACACAAACAATTACAAGAAGGGGATATATACTTGACTTTCAATCAAAAATGTAGAAGACGAAAGTAGTAAATAATTACAGTCAACTAAAATATTTATTAAAATAAAATTTAGTTTGATTGAAACAATTTATTTGATTTTTTTAGAACCTCCCAAGGATCTAATATTTCAAATAGCCTTTGTGGTCACTACTTTTAAAATATAAAGTTTATCTTGTTGTAAATTGTTTATTAACTTAATATTTCGCGTGTTAGATTGCAATACGTGTATTGACATTGTTTAATCATCCGTCAATCTCAATAAGATGACATGATACAAAAAAATTGCAATTGTTTATTAAATTCATGTAAGTATCGAAAATTAAAATATATGTCGTGCTATAAATTTGATATAAATTAATAAGAGATTGACAAACTGATAATTGATACGTATTTTGGATAGATTTAAAAAATGTCTATTTAAAGTTGTAATTGTTATCAATTTAACTTACATTAATATTTTGTAATCTAGAAATTAATTGAATTAAGTTCATATAGCCTACTTCAAGTTCATTAACAAAAAAGCTACAATAAGATTTGAAAAAGGAATTGATCACAAAATTGAAAGTCTCTTCCTTCAAAGAGACGAGGATATCCATGTTTGATATCTATTTTTTTTCCCTAGCAAATCATTGCTATAGCTAAATGACGGTGTGCAATATAGGTCGGGTTCCACTTTTTGATATATGAAAGGGTTATCGTACGTACAAGAGTTCTGTATATAGTCTTTACGCGTATTAATTGTGCCAGGGAGCAGCAATGGGGAAAAACAAGTTATGTGCACCCATGATGATCAAGACAATATTCAAGAACTCAATTTCTCATCACAACTAGATCATAGTAAAACATTATTGTTCATCTGAGTTGGCAAAACCAAATTTATTTTCAGATGATGAGCTTTGGAACAAAACATGTGATCTAATAGCTGGAGAACTCAAAGAAGCACGTTGGAAGGAAGGAAAAAAAGAGAAAAAGAAAAATCGAAGTGTTCGAGGGAGTAAAAGTTGTGACCAACAAGCTAGGCAGCATTGTACCCACTTCAGCTCTGTAAAGAGCTTCGGCGCAACCTAACATCAGGAGATTCCAACAATGAGCGTATATACGAATTCCACAACTACAACATTATGCAGTAGTGTACAAGATTAGATAGGATTCAAAATAAAAATAAGTTAAAATTTTGTTTGTTGTATTGTTTATTTCTGTTCTGATACTGTACACCAAATTCATATCAAATGTATTAGAGCTTGTATAACTTACACATTTATCAACACACGACCAGTAGTCGAAATAATGTCCCGTGCAGTGCTTTTGCCACGAGTCATCACCTTCAATTCTCTTAATACATTGCTACAATCCCATCACATATCTCGAGTTTAATTCGGATTCAAAACTCATGAATTACGTATCAAATCTTTCTCTATCCTTGCTCATAAATGAACATTCTCTTTTGAGTCGAAGACAACAATTCAATATTTTGGTGTCTCAATTATTGCATGAACTACACGATGGACCACTTGGAGCTTAAAAGCTTACTAGTACAATTTGATTGTCAATATCAATGATAATAACACTACAAATCACATGGTCAAGCCATCATCGATATAATTTAAATGAAAACGAGAAAAAAAGGAACTAATTCACAAGTCTCCATGTTGATAGTCAAAAATCGATTGTGCCAAAAAGGCAAGAATACCTTTGCTTCTCAAATTCCCTCTCAAACAACGCAATGATACCTCCAAGGGTAAGGACCGGAAGACCCTTGGATCCAGGTGGTAGTTTTAAGGGCCTATTTGGGCCGAATTTTAATCTAAGTCAAAGTCAAACAATCAATATTAATCACATCTTTCACGGGTCCCACATCTTTTCAACCACACATTTCAAAAACTTCTACCAATTCACTAAAAATCTAATTTTAATCTCCACCCTTGCTCGTAAATCTCACGTCTGCATGGCTCTTTAGTTATTATTTGCTAGTTTCTTGTTCTTGTCTTCGCTATGGATCTATCTTTTACTTTGTAGTTTATATACAAAATATGAATGACAAAATCATGTATTGCTTAAAGAAAAACCTTTCCTCAATGTTGAATGCATTTACACACGACAACATGTTGACCTACTTGAATAATTACACATTGGCTGTCATAACTTTGGACAATGGACCTCAAATTTTGACATAAAGCAAGTGATTTATGCCCTTTTCTGAAAAGCTGCCTATGTGCACTCCCATTTCACCTTTCAACGAGCAAGTGACATGGGGAATCGTTGTCCAATCGCATGTGATCTCTTTTATATCGTGATCCTACACTGTAGACAGGGGATGGAGCCAAAAAATTGATGTTAGATGGACTGAAATTTAAAAAAATTCAAATAAACTCACGTTAGAAGAGATTGAGTTTAAGAGGATGTGCTCATAATATTCACGATAAAGAGTGTATGGCACTCAATGAAATAAAAGAAGTCAAAATATCTCACCTTAAGATGTTCAACTTGATCTTGCATTTTTCTTACCAAATAGAAAATCGACGCTTACCTTAAAAAATATTAAACTGACCGAATCATGATCGAAATAAGCAAAAGATACATATCCATCTATGAATTTTTTTTTTTTAGAAAAAATTACTTAATGAGTGCTATTCTAAATAACTTTGACTATTAATCTTTCAAAACAACTAAAAGCTTGATCGAACTACACAATTAATAATACATCACTATATATTATTGTCTCAAAATATTATTTGGTGTGGTCCACGATTTTCTATATCACCATATTTTACATTGAGTGAGGAATCCTGTTCAAAGTGAGAAAAATCAACTAAAAATTCTGAGGGTCAAAGAAATTAGATTTAATTCACGTTCATGTTTGGCTTAGTTTCAAGAATATGCTTATATATAAATTAATTTATAAATGAATAAGTTTTAATGAATATTCTTTTTATTAACAAGATCAAATCCAGAGCAAATTATTTATTTTGATCATAACATTTATTTCATGGTCAAAATAAGTAATTTTTTTCTTATACGTATGAATAACTAGTAAATGGCAACATACGTAGAAATAAAAAATTAATCAGTTTTAAACTTAGCAAAACATGTAGTGTCTCTAACTGTTAAAGTGAGTAATGATTTTTTAGATCTGATCAATACAAATTATCTATAATAAATTTTACTTAATAATTATAAGTAAATTTAGTCAAAAATGCATTAAATAAAATACCTAATTTGACAACAAAATATTCACGTTTCATGAATGTCATGAAAAATAGTATTTAATAATTATAGTGTCTTTAAAGAAATTTGAATAATTAAGCATTGGGTTTGTGTTGTGATTCAAACTAGAGCTGAGTTAATACAAATATTTGAGCCAAAATTATACATTTCCTTAATTTTTTTTTATATAGTTTGGGGATAGGTAGGGTTGGGCTATAGACTAGTCCTGCCCTTCACTACATCCGCCCCTGGCCGCAAATTCATGGCTAAGAAGGGATTGTCCATCTCTCAAAGATTATCAAGATTGACAACTTCACTTTCAAGGACAAAACTCGAGTTGATAACTAAACCCAATCACAAGCCTACAAAGTAGCTCCTCGATCTTGGCATTGCATGGAATTAAACTATAAAGGATCGATCATTTAACTCGAGACGTGACAATTCCACCTACTACAATCAGGTGGACGTGACATATGTTAAGAATTAGAAACCCTAATTCTACTACCAAAAGCAATAAAATTGTGAAATGAAAATAGACACGGGAATAGAGCCTTGTCTCAATGTGAAATTACAATAATTCACTATAATGAAAAGAAATTTACATGAGGAAATAGCGTGCGCGCGCGCGCACACACACACACACTCTCTCTCTCTCTCTCTCTCTCTCTCTCTCTCTCTCTCTCTCTCTCTCTCTCTCTCTCTCATAATACAAAACTATAATAACGAATCCCTTTAATAAGATAAATTATGGTAAAATCGGATTAATAAGTATGAAATTTCTAAATTGTCCTTAATGATTTATCTCCATACAATGACAGTAATTAGACTACACAACTTAACAATGTATGCAGGGGTGGAGAGAGGAGGGGTCCTGGGGGGGGACCCGGACCCCCCCAATTTTTTGACAATTTTTTTTTTTTTTTTTCCATTTTGTCCTCATGCATAATGTGTAGTGTTATTATCCAAATGGACATAAAACTATGTAGTAATTTGTTTGTCCCTTTTACCTAAAGTGGACTTTGCTAAAATGCATTGATAATAAAACATTTCCGTGGAGAATGTCGTAACTACGTTCTTAGGTTGGAAATGACATATACAAAGAATGAATTATGCCAAGAATCAATTGCGCAATCGAATGAATGATAAATTGTTAAATGATAGCTTAATTGTGTATATTGAGAAGAATGTATTCGACATGATCGATGATAATGTAGTTATACAATGTTATCAAAGTAACGACCAATGCAGTAGCTTTTCGCCCGATTATAATGTAGTTATATAACGTAATCAAAGTATGATTTTGCTAAATTAAAGATTAGTAATTTTTTTTCTACATTTCTTGATTTTTTTGTTAATAACGTATCAAAAAAAAAAAAAAAATTTCAGGGCATCTACTATGTAATATGTACAATCACTTTACTCCCCTATATACACTCTTAATAACTGCAGTTTGAAGTGAAAAACTACTGAGGAAGCATTTCATATTCTCACCACGTTTCTATATTAATCTAACTTGATTCGGAGTGGGATAGGATTGTTCCACCTACTATTATCAAAATTTTCATGGTATTAAAGTCGACTCACAATCACTTATAAATGAGTTATCACCGTAATTGCTTTAAAGAAACAACAGAAACTTCAAAATAGTTGAAAAATAAAAGAAAATTGACTAATTTGGTGTAAAAAAATTCATATGTAATTTTAAACATACAAATTATTCATTATTCATTACCTGATAATCAACGTAGGCTTTAGTGCATTTGGACTTGCAAGAATCTTCAAGGGTTTTCTTTTGATCCACAATTTCATCCTCCCTGGATTTCATAAAATACGTGCATACTAACCAATCTAACTATAACATAGAAATTGAAAATTTAACTAATTTATTAAATTAAATGGGAGAATTTTTGTAATAAGTTCTTACATTGATACAAGGGTGCTGATTTTAGAAAATTAGTAACAATTGCGCGTAAATCTATACCTATGAAGAAAGGGAATTAGAAAATTTTCAATTTCTCTATTTGATTCTTCTTTTTTTAGTGTGTTTGATCCCCCATTTTTTCCTTATTATAATGGAAAATACGATTATGACAATTCAAAAAAGTAACTCCAACTGTCATATTTCTCATTATAATGAGGAACAACGGGGATCAAACACCCCCCTTAATAGTATTCTTATTGATTTTGGTTTTGCAATTAGATGGGAGCAAATGAATTGGATTAAACTGTTGTGGAATATCCCTCCTTCTCTTGAAAGAGTGAATGTGAGATTCACTGTTCATTTTTGTCACAACCGTTTTCACATTGATCTGGTTCTAAAACGGTTTCGTACTGTTCAAAAAAATTGGTGACTTTACCTATTAAAAAAAAATTAACAAAAAAACAAGCCTCAATTGTTGACTTTG